AAGAATCCACAACAACAGATAACATAAAAAACTACAATAATAAGAGCAGACTAGAAAAAAAAAATGAGAATAAAAATAAATAGATAAATAGAATAAAGCATAAAATCAGAATCAGAAATACTTTAATAATCCCAGGGGGGAAATTATTTTCATTACCATCTTCAGATATACAAACAACATATTAAGAACAAACATATTAATATACACAACTATATATATAAAAGATAAAACGTACTGTATAATAATAAAGACACGTTTATAAACATAATATAACATAATAATTATTGGTATATTATCTAATGATGTGTTCAGGTTCTGCTAGTGTGTCCGACAGCACCTGAACGCAGCACCGGCCTCTACTAATCCATCAAAACGTCTCGACCGCAGATGTCCCTCTCACACCGACACCGCTCCTCTGATTGGACGATGCTCCCGGTCCCGCCTCTCCGCGTTCGATTGACAGCCGAATGAACCAATAGCAAGAGGGATCGAGGCCGCTCTCTAACTTGTGATTGGTGGATCGGGTCTGGACAATATGAATGGCAACACGGTATTGTTCGACGTCTTCCCAAGACAGTCGCGACTTGGTGGTTTCCAACTGCGGGAGAGTCCGTTAATGTTTGTCTTTATTTCTTGTCTTAGTCTAAAAGAAAACAACCGACAAACTTCGGTCGGTGGTAAACAAACAAACAAACATGAAGAGGATTTAGAAAGAAGAATAAACCTGGTAACGTCGAGGGAAGCGAACAGTAAGTTATAGCTGTTTATCTCAGCTGGGATTTAAATGGTTAACCCCGTTAGCTGAATTAGCTCACTTATTTGAGCTAAAACTATTCTTATAACTTTCTTTTGCTGTGTTTTTATAAGTTCTGTGGTTAATAGTTTGAGTTAATTCCATGAAATGTTCACAGGAGCAGGTGTTAGTAATGATTAATAACATATTAAAGTTACCCGTTATCTTTTAGTTTGCTTTGAAGTTCCCGTTTTCTGATCGCTGGGACCAGACTCCGTTTAAATGTTGTACATTATTTATTTCAAGAGTGTCCTGAGCTGTATTTCACTGACTGTGACTCATTTTAATGATGTTTTAATAATCAATAGAGTCTATTATTCAATTCGGCATACATCCAATAAGATCAGATCAGATGAGATAGACTTTATTGATCCCACACTGGGGAAATTCACTCACTACAGATATAAATATACACATTAAATAAAAAGAACAGAAAAATACACGATATAATAAAAATAGAGAAAATAGAATAGGAGTTATATGAACACTATATACAGCTCTAACATTAATGAATTAACCTGTACTGTATATGAATTAAGACTCTTTAACTCTATTTAACACCTGAACTGTACAGTTTTACATATTTATACACATATATATATATAATTTCTTAAACACACATTATTAATATATATTTGCTGTAAACTACCTGTATGTTCCATATCAATCACACTGTGTTTAAAAGCTGTATATAATATATATAACTCTTATTCTATTCACCATTTTATTATAGCTGCTGTTTCTCTATTCCAGTTTCATTGAATGTGTATTCATGATTAAACTCTAGAAGCTGAGATTTTATAAACATAGAGCTGCTTGGTGCTTCTCTAACGTCTAATATCCAGTCCTGGAAACCACCTGGATTGTCCTGGAAACTTCATCTGTAAAATAAAATCAATTCTGTTTGATTTGAACTCTTACTTGCCGGCTGTGGCCACATTAAAGTCCCAGTCATCATTTCTGAGGTGAATTTGTTCTGACCGCGGTTTGTTTTAACAGAACCACCTCGGAGCGTCGGCGGGCGGGGGGGCGGCTGGAGATGGGGGATCCGGAGCCTCCAGAGTTTGGGTCCCTGGAAGAAGAGCTGGAGTACTGGAAGGAGCAGGCTGCCCGGCACCAACAGAGGTGTTTATGTTGTTGTTGTTGTTTAAATGTGTACACATTAATGAAGCTGGCCTATATATTTACACTGTGTTGTGATGTGACAACAGTTTTCTTGTCAGTTTTCCTGCAGTGTCTCTCTTCCTGGACCCTAACTTTATAATATTATATATAATATAAAGTTTATAACCTGTAGTTTTGATGGCAAGAAAGGATAACAACAACAAACAACAACAAACAACAGTTCTGACTCTTCAAATGTTTGTTTTGCAGCTTTTATAGAACATAAAGCCGATCAATCACATCATTAGTGCAGGAAACTTCAGTTTTGCATCACAAAGTTGATTTCTCGCTGGAAAAACTATTAAAATTATGACGATGTGATGTTTGTTTGGGGGGTTTATATCAAAGTATGTTTTCTTAAATCTAAAGAATAAGATTTGTCTCTACAGTTCTTCATTATAACTGCTATTGTTCCTCTTTATTGCTGCTTTTACCATCAAACTGCAGCTTCTTGTGGTTTGGATGATATTTCAGTTATATATAATATAATAAAATCTGAATCTTGGGCTGGATTAGATTAGATTTTTGACCTCATGTCGCGGGCCGGAGGGAGGGGGCCCGAGTCCCCTGAACTGTTCTGTAGTTTGACAGATTAACAGTGAAAAATGTGAAAATATGAACAGAAGAATCGTTGTTACGTTCCTCCACTGAGCTGACGTCTAGTTAAATAAATAATAGTGAATTTAAAATATCCCCCATTGTTCCAGGGACCCTGGAAAGCCCCCTCAAGGACTCCTGGGGGTCCCCGGACCTCAGGTTGAGAACCCACACTGTTCTGAGCTGACCTAAAATACTCTAAAAGTTTGCTGCAGTTTTCATAATTCCTTTTAAATACAACTCCACCTCCTTAATAAATGAACTGCCAAATACATGATATTTACACAAGTATAATCAAATATTGTGTCAGAATAAGATCTTCTGGGAACAGAACAAAGATAATCGCTCAGCTTTGTAATAAATACAGAAACAATAATCAATAGTGTTTCCCTGCTCTCCTGTTCAGTTTATATTAACGTGAGTCTGCGGACACTCCTGCA